ACAAGGTCTTAGAGACAAAATGTCTAGAGACAGTTTAGTGGCTTTCCATTACCTTTACCATGGGTGGGATAATGTCCCAGCGCTGAAGGAGTGTCTGGCAGAGGCTTTGATACTCCTGCAGAGTAGTCCTCGTGTGTGATGTTGGCTGATTGGTATCAGCTGCAGCTATGGGAGAAAATGAATGTGACTGGCAGAAACTAGAACTCCCACAGTGCAAGGTTTAACATTGTCTTGCTCAAATATCTACAAATAAAATGACTTGATGTAAGCTGATGCTGATCTTAAACGTGTAAAAACATGTCATTTCTTAAATAAAAAATGTATGTATGCATTTTTTCTGCATTTATGGTGTATGTTCAGATGTGTAAGCTGTCCATGCAAAAGGGACTAATTCATCACCAAATTATCAGAGACAAACATTTGGACTGCTGCATGTCCTCTCTGTGCACAGCTGGGATTCCTCTGGTTACTCCAGGTTCTTCCCACAGACCAAAAACCTGCATGTGAGGTTCATTATATATCAAGGTGTGAGTACCATAAGTGCTTGAACAGTTGTTTGACTCCATGTGGCCCTATGATGGACTGGAGACCTGTTCAGGCTGTCCCCACAGTGACTGCTGGAGATAAGCACTAACACCCTGACCCAGAAAGGAAAAGTGGGAAAAGAAAATAGATTGGATGGATGGATGTCCTTTGGCTGCTCTCTTCTTCAGGGATCACCACAAAGAAACAAAGTCACATGAAAGATTTGTCAATTGTTTGACACCAGATGTCCCTCTGTACACAACCTGGGCTCAAACCATCAGCCTCAGAATAAGTAGATCGTGGCACTGACCACTGAGCTACCACAGCCCCTCAGTGCATTGTTTATCATTACTGTTTGGTACAGCACTTTTGCCCCAGATGAAGGGAACATGTTGATTAGTTATAATTTATATGTTCTGCTCTGTTTATATAGTCACACAAGTCAACAGTAGCGAGGGCTAATCCGTTAAACATTAAATCTACTGGAACGTTATCTTCTGACGTTAGCCTCATCTTTAACCAGATGGCTGCTGCTTTCCTCAAAGAATATCCAGTGCCCAGTTTGAATACTGTATATTATAATGATCACATTCTGTTATATATTTTAAATGCCAAGTCATATTTTTGAAATCTTGAGAAGCTTGGTAATAATAATAATAAAAAAACTCTAAATCAGGTGCTATGTCACATTTTTGGTTGGGTTTTTTTTTGTACATATTGTGGTAAAAATAACCTTCCATAACCAAACTTTTTCCAATAAAGAGAAAAAGACATTTATACAAAAAAAATCATTTATTTCATATAATAAAATGTCTCTTTTTTTTTTTTCCTCCAAACATTGTGTTTTTAAAAGTCTTTGATAATGTAACAGTGTGTACAGACAAAATAAAATGCATAAGGTAATGTCATGGAAACATACATTCTTGTAAACATCAAAAGGAAATCAATAAACCCAACAAAACCACTGCGACAGATGATAAAAATATATAAAATGTCACATGAGAAAAACCAAGGCTGCGTTTCAAATCAACACAACAGTGACAGCAGAAATTCATTGTTAGGAAACAAATAATCCGTTGATACATCCAGCAAGAAACCAGACCAGAACCAAGAGAAGGGCTGCTGTTGGGTGGGCAGGGTGAGGACAGGGTGAGGACAGGGTGAGGACAGGGTGAGGACAAGGTGAGGACAGGGTGAGGACAGGGTGAGGACATAGTGAGGACAGGGTGAGGACAGAGTGAGGACAGGGTGAGGACAGGGTGAGGACAGGGTGAGGACAGGGTGAGGACAAGGTAAGGACAGGGTGAGGACAGAGTGAGGACAGGGTGAGGACAGGGTGAAGACAGAGTGAGGACAGGGTGAGGACAGGGTGAAGACAGAGTGAGGACAGGGTGAGGACAGAGTGAGGACAGGGTGAGGACAGGGTGAGGACAGAGTGAGGACAGGGTGAGGACAGGGTGAGGACAGTTAAGGAAGGTGTAAACAGGAGATAAAGCTGCCACTCATCCAGCCCAGGCTCAGTTCTCTCAGGAAGTGAAAACATTTTGAGACGACTGCTTTGTGAAAAAGATGCTGCTGCTGAGACGAGTCCAGACTGGTACGACCAACATCCACTCGCCCGTACTGCTGCAGCCATCAGGACCCAACAGCACCCAGAGAAATACTGCTCTGAGAACTGTGTGAACATGGAGCTATAAGTGATGATTAAAGAGCAATACATGTGAATGTTTGTCTAAAAACTGTTTTGTATTGAAATGCAAAGGTAGTGATTCTCTGCACGCTGTCTGTGAACGATCCTTATCAAAATAATGAACACTGGTCAGGACTTTGTGAGGTTTGACCAAAAACTTGTGCTTTTTATCAAACTTTTGAAGGTTCGTGAACTGGGAGACGAGACTCTGCTGCATCATCACCGTGCACATCAGGCCAGACGTGAAGAAAGGTTTATATAAAATGATATTTCTTCATTTTTAGGTTTGCAATTCTACATCTGAAACTCTGGCTCTATATTTGGTAGCAATACACAATACAGGTACATACCAGACACGTACCTGTCACATACAGTGTGAGTACCAGGTAAAAATATAGTATCACGTCTGGTAGCTCAGTGGCATACAAGTACTCAGGAAAGTACCTGGTATTTACAAGGTTTGTGCAGTTAAGTGCATACCAGGTAAGCATCAGGTATGTATTAATAAGTTCAAGGTATATAACTAGTGAGTACGTCACACTTACCAGGTACGTACCCTGGAAGCACCAGTTAAGTACTGTACGTTCTAAACTCAGTAAATACCAAAGTATGTACTAGTAAGTTCTACGCCCGTACCCATTAGGTCAGTGTTTCCCCTACCTACCATTACACAAGCAGAACGCCCTGCCTACCGAACTGCCCCCCCCATTGACAGCTGCCGGCACTAACGTAGCGCTAGGCTAACGGTGCACAATACAGGTGCACTAGCTAAAAAGCTACACGGGGAGTGCACTTTTCCCCTCACGCTGAGCCGTGCCCCCTCCCACCCCCCAGTCGACAAAACAAAAAAAGATATGAACACCCTGCCACGGCAAGTAAACTAGGAGAAACACTGTAGGTACATCGTACTTACCAGGTATACCCTGTAGGCACCAGTTCAATATGCCCAAAATACCCAGAAAGTATCCAGTAAGTACTTGGTAACTACCTGATAAGTAACAGGAAATTGACAGGTACATGTCTGTATTATACGTTGCTACCCAACATTCTTTTCTCGAACACCACGGTGTGCACATGTAAGTGTTCATGTGTGTAAAGTGCAGCGTGTGCCGGTCATTCCTCACAGAGTCATTTGGTGGCAGCAGAGGCTCACCGCTCAGCTCGACAAGCGTTCTGGGTGTGTTTGTAGACAGAAGAAAACGAGAACTGGACTGGACTCACTGCAGCCCGAGTCCAGACTCCCAACAGACGTTCCCATTGACGGAGCCGTCTCTGAAACAGCCTCCGTCTGATCCGGCCAGGCAGGAGAAACCTGGAGCGCCTCACTGTGTGTGCAGACAACTGAACCTCTCTGCCGCACCATCAGTCTGGACTTCTTACTCCAAGACAAAGACTCTTTCTTGCTCGTGTTTCGCCTCATCGTCTCGTCTTTTTCATCCTGTTACGTTCAAAAGAAATCTTCCTTTCGATACGCATGAGGCAGATTCGGGCTTCCTCTACACACATGTGGGTAGATTCACCACTAAAAGATGACACAACAACAGAATAAGAAACATAAAAGGATTCTTTGGGATTCATGGGAGGACGTTCTTGTCAGAAATTTGATTTGTTTACAGAAACACCACCTCGACTACGCCCTAAAGCAAAATGCAAAAACACTCATTTCTGCTCTGCAACTAGCACCTCGTGTATTTTTGGAATACGCCTCATTAAATGTCAACATTCCTCTGTGTGTGTGAGTGTCAGTGCCCAGCACCTCACACAAGGCATTTATTGCTAATATAAACATAAAATCTAACTTCATTGTGTAAAAACACCACTCTAGACCTTTATGACACTTACAGTATATGACACTACACCTTCATCCGGTCTACCTGCTCTAAACGTCCTTCACGTCTGATTCAACAACACAGCCGAGGCCATTTTGGAAGGGATTACACAAAACGGTTTGGGACTTCATATGGATGGACAGAAGACACCAAAGCTGTCCTCCTGCGGTTGAGACTGAGTGAAACTGAACGGAGTAGCAGTGCTGTCGCAGGGAGCACGGTGTCTGTCTGACACAGACGCTGCGGTGCGTCACAGTAATACTTGCAGTTAGCAGAGCTTTTGAATTGGCAGATGAAAACATCTGTGTTGTTGTTTTCCTTCAGCTGTTGACCTCGTATTGCAGGACTGTTCAGGGAGGACAGTGTGAAGGAAAACAGCATGAGAACAGAAAGCAAGAGATGAACACAGGAGTCCTTCCGTGAGACAGGAAACGTCCACTGGAGCTTCTCCCTCTGTTATAGTCTTCTGTCTCCTCGGGTTGGAGCTGAAGTCCGTGTGATTTGCACGTGTGTTGGATCAGTGAGGGTGAATCCAGGCGCCGCAGTGATAGTTCGATTTGGATTATCAGTTCGTTCTTTTGTTCTTTTTTGAGATTTGTCAAAATACGTGTCACACAGACTCCGTTTCTGAAGCGTCACTCTTCGTCCCGCTCTAGACGGAGGCTTCGGGCGGGGCGCCGTTGGTCATCTTCACGAAGATCTTGGGGTCATCGTCTTGCTTGTTTTTCAGGTGCTGGAGGTGGCGACTGTGGCAAAGCAGGTAGAGGGGCAGACAGAAGCCCAGCATGCTGAGCACCAGCAGGCCCACGTTCACCTAAACGTCAGGCAGACAGGCAGACAGGCAGACAGGAAGACAGGAAGACAGGCAGTGATGAACTCGAACGCTGACTCTGATCAGTCGTGCTCATGTCCAGGTGCTTGTGTCATCTTACCCATAAAGGGTCTCCCTCCAGGGGGCCCACCATGGCCAGGAAGAGGGGCTGCTGGATCAGGGCGAACAGAGCGCTGATAAGAGACTGCATGCCGGTCAGACTGCCAAACTGAGAGGACGGGTACCTGGAGGAGACAAAAAGCATGTGTCACATGCATCGTCTCTGTCTAAACACAGTTGGTTCATCCCTTGAGTTTGAGTTTTGAAGCTGATCTGACTGAAAGTTTGTGAAGAAGTTATCAAAATAAAATGGAAAAAAATGAAAGTTGGTCAAGACAACCATTTTTATTTATTTATTTTTTAAATACAAGACCTAGCATTCCTTCATGGCAGCATTTTAAATGGAATCACTAGACGCTGAGAAGAAATCAAGCTGCAGCTGTTTGGTCCAAATTTAACCTCAGGCAATATATGAGACGTGTTAGCACTCAGAGTGAATCATGGGGAAGGCTCAGCTACTACTAGGGATGGGGCCGATCTGATCCAGTATCGGTATCGGCCTCCGATACCAGCATAATTTACGTATCGGATTTTTCCGATCCACCTGCTGATATTTCCGATCCATGATGCATGTTGGCTTTAAACTATGGAATGGATTTCCTGAACGGCGGCGTGTCTCATGAACCCAGAGTAATAAGACCCGCCTCACATTCAGGAAATCCAGTCCATAGTTTGCAGCCAGCTACAACGTGAGGACTGAGTTAGCAGCACTGTGGCTAACAGCTAACTAACTTTTCATCTAAACATGTCCGCTGTGTGGAAGTATTTTACACTAAACACCACAAAACAAGACAGCAACGTGCAATGTCTGCAGAGCCATAGCGCCACATTAAACCACGTTAAAGTTAGTTTTACGATGGACATTCGAGCTCCGTGGCTTCAGCGGGGCGCTGCTCTTTGGTCAAACCGAAAGAGGTGACTCGACTCAGCCAAGATATAGTTTACCCTCCAGGAGATATTTATCAGTACAACAGTAGACAATCATAAAAAACATATGATTTGAAAATTATATTAAAAAAATAAACAGCTACATTATAAAGTGATGTTAAATACTAAAAACAGGAACATGTCTGTTGGTTTGTGCCATGAATTTAGCAGATGTTTGAAGCCATTTAACATTTTATTTAATTTAATTCATTTATTCATTCATTTAAAAGAAACTAAATTAAAAAAAAATATATCATCAAAAAGAAAATATTGAATGAAAAAAGTGCAGAA